AATTGACCTGCATATATGTTTTTCTTTCGACTGTGGTGTTTTGTGTATTCAAAATACAGGTTTGCAAGAAGTCTTCATGCGACTATTTATCGACTACGAATTTGGTGATGCCGCGAAGATATTGTCGGAATGATGACTCCGACAGATATATATATGGATATGGTGATGATTTAACAACGATTATGATGTATTTTTCATCGCATTGATGACTTTATGATGGGGGTGTATAAACACAATTGAAGATCCGACGCTATGAAGATAACCCGACGGCCGGGTATAACACTGATATTTTGACTATGAGTCCAATGCCATACGTGGTTGCAGGAGGGTGTTAGAAGTTCGATTTGAAGATACAGCGTCTCTTATAATTAGTTAATTTTATGGTTTAGTTTGGCAATTTATCTAAAATGTAAATATTTTGTATACAAGACAAAACTTTGACACTTATCAATGAAAGAAACCTTCAATATGTTTAGGGTTTCCTCCAAATTTGACAACTATAAGTTATATAGTTTTGTTAGTAATTTAAAATTTACCATTATACTTTATCTCGTTATATATATCTGTGTGTGTGTAATTTGTAAATACAGATATAGATATCAATCTTGTCATATTTGTAGTCTTAAAAATTTTGGTGAGATCAAATTTGAATAATTCATCCTTCAAAACTTAAACAGTCCAAACTTTGATGTATATAATTACTATTACTCAATGCAGAACCATGTATAGTTACGGTCAAATTCTTCTGCTAATAAAGAGTCATGATTAATTGGGTAACTCATGCTTCAAATGAAAGAATCGGAAACCAAAACCAAAAAAATTGCTAATAAAACTGACCCTCACACTCTTATAAGTTACTGAAACTCATTTCAAGCCTTCAAGGTCTCCGCGATCCAAACAACTAGACACCATTATAGTCACACATCAACTCTTGGTTTCAAGGAAACGCGAAGGGTGAAAGCTGATCAAATTTTTCCTAGCGAAATCCTCGTAAGCTTCTTTCATGAGATCATCGTCGTCCCATTCCTCACGGAAAGTCTCCGGCTGAAACATAAGTCTCTTGTAACCCTGGACTACTTCTTGATCTCTCCAGTGTTCAACATGTGGAAATCCACATTGTTCTGTGATCCAATTGAGGTATTCACACTATAACAAACAAAGTTTTAGTTAGGAAAAAACTTTTGGAACTATATTTCTTTCGATTCCATATAATATATATGTAACATGATATTTGAAATGTAATTAATGTACCTGAATTCTACCCAATCTATGCATGTATCTTTTGGGAAAATTTAACGCCTCAAGGTTTTCATATGACAATCTAAGATCTTCCATCATATTGTCTATCGAAGGAAGTGTAACTCGTTCAGATAAAACTGCAGCCACCCATTTGCTTTGGACTTCAAACATATAAAATTGTAGACCCTAATTACAGATCAAATAAAAATGAGTCTTATACAAATGAGTTAAATAATTTGAAACCTTTAATTACTATTATTTTGTTCAAAACTAACCATTGCTGGTAAACCGATAAAAGAAAGTCCGGGAGCAAGCGCGGGTGGAAAGATATGTTTGTAGAGAGGATCAATGCAGTTGTCATCAATGTTAATGTAACCATTGGTTTCAAGAAATGGAAAGTAATACTTATACCTTCATACAGAACAAAAATGTTGTCATTCTTTTGTCACAAAAATGTAGTTATTAAATCTCACATTTCATATATATAAATATGCTATTTAAAAAATCTGAGTACCCGGTACAATGCACGATGGTATCGGCATATACCATCTTTCCATTTTGGAAAACAATCGAACCATCCTCGCGTACAATGTCTATCTACATATTAAAAAGTAAAATAAGTTCAATAGGAGCCACAAACCATTTCATATAGGTTTCAAGATAGAACCTCATAAACTTATATAATCGAACTTGTTATATATTCGTAAAACAAAATTATTAGTTTTACCTGAGAATGCATCCAAAGATTGTTTATATGTCTGGGAAGCTTTTCGTATGTATCAGGTCCACTCGCTCTAGATGCGATATGAACTTCATTTGCGACTTTACATATGTCTCTACTAATATCGGCCCCACTCGCAAAATTTCCGATCACTACAACCACCTGTAATAG